TTTGTTTAATGTTTTAGTGCAATGTTGGAACTTGGAAATTCAATTAGAAATTTCAGATCCGTTTGTGCTCCTTGTTTTTAATGGGTAGTAAAAGTATAAGGTTCTACTTCTCGATCTTTTGTGGAGCTATCCTGACTTCAAATGAGGATGATTAGATGGGAAATGATTGATTTTTCTGATATTATGGAATTTGTAAAAGCATTTTTAGAAATAACTATAATGCATTTATGCCATACTTGAAAAACTATCTTGATGAATGCTATCCAAGTCTAACTGAATGCATGTAATGCATTGGGGTGGTTAAAAATGAGAACTTCAAAGAGGATGCCAAGCAGGTAAATAACAAAAAATTTAGTATTGACTGTGTTTCTTATTGAATTTATTACTTGATAATCAATTTGTGACTTGGTCAATTTGTAACTTTTATTTGTTTTCTGACCAGAGATGTTGACTTTGAAATTATAGTAGTGGATGATCTACATATGACAACTGCTAAATATGAGGAGATATTCTCTTTTATGCTATATTATATAAAATTGTGAAGTTGTATTTTAAATCTACGCTATGACCAATGGTTTTCTGAGACAACTGATTGCTTTGTTATGTACTTCTAAAATGAAAAAAAANNNTATGTACTTCTAAAATGAAAAAAAAATGAGAAAAAAGGTTCTGCAGTCCTATTTCATTATATACAATGCTAGAAAACTGTAGCTTAAGCAAGAGAGAAAATTAGTTTCTGATTAATACTATTTAAGATAACTAGATGATTAACCGAACGACATGATTCATTTTAACTTCAGTTAACGTTTGTGAATTTAATTTGCTTCTTTACTTTTTGCTCATTTTGCAGTGTTTGCTTTGCTTTTCTTTTAGTTATAATCTAATTAGATGTTTTTTTCTTTTTCATGTTTGTCTACAGCTAAAATACTTGCAGAGTTTTATCAAGTAAGAATAATTACAGAAAACGCTTTGAGCTTTGTATTCTAAATATGTTTACTAGCTGAAAATTTCTTAAGTTCAAGAAATAGATGGAGACAGGTGCGAGCATAGTGACTGGAACTCGTTATGTTAAAGGTGGTGGTGTGCTTGGATGGATGCGTAAATTGACGAGTAGAGAGTCAAATGTCCTTGTGCAGACTTTTCTTTGGCCGGATGTATCAGACTTAACTGGATCATTTCGGTACAATCAGATTTTATTTTATTATTGTTTTTTCAAGAACAATTAATTAATGTCATTGTGCTTTTGATTATTATTGTTGGGTTTGAAATCTTTACCAGAAATTTGTGCTTGAAGATGTCATGAGTTCTTGTGTGAGTAAAGGCTATGTTTTCNTATGTACTTCTAAAATGAAAAAAAATGAGAAAAAAGGTTCTGCAGTCCCATTTCATTATATACAATGCTAGAAAATTGTAGCATGAGCAAAAGAGAAAATTGGTTTCTGATTAATACTATTTAAGATAACTAGATGATTAACCGAACGACGTGATTCATTTTAACTTCAGTTAACGTTTGTGAATTTAATTTGCTTCTTTACTTTTTGCTCATTTTGCAGTGTTTACTTTGCTTTTCTTTTAGTTATAATCTAATTAGATGTTTTTTCCTTTTTCATGTTTGTCTACAGCTAAAATACTTGCAGAGCTTCATCAAGTAAGAATAATTACAGAAAACGCTTTGAGCTTTGTATTCTAAATATGTTTACTAGCTGAAAATTTCTTGAGTTTAGGAAATACATGGAGACAGGTGCGAGCATAGTGACTGGAACTCGTTATGTTAAAGGTGGTGGTGTGCTTGGATGGAATTTTATGCGTAAATTGACGAGTAGAGAGTCAAATGTCCTTGTGCAGACTTTTCTTTGGCCGGATGTATCAGACTAAACTGGATCATTTTGGTACAATCAGATTTTATTTTATTATTTTTTTTTCAAGAACAATTAATTAATGTCATTGTGTTTTTGATTATTATTATTGTTGGGCTTGAAATCTTTACCAGAAATTTGTGCTTGAAGATGTCATGAGTTCTTGTGTGAGTAAAGGCTATGTTTTCCAGAT